GGGTTAAAGGTAATGTGCAGTTGCTCACCCTCTGATAACTTTATTCCCACAAAATATTTAAGCCAGCAATGCAAAACTGTAAAAATGTACTGCTTCTGTTGACTCATTTATTTTTTAAAAGAGGTTCGATTACTGGTATATTAGGGATTTGTTTATCAACTCATAACCTGGACACTCATTAAAACCCGGTTTTAATGATGCACCGTATTTTTGAAGCTTGTGCATGTTAGGGCCTGCAAGTTTGCTCTATCTGAAGCTTGCATTGGCCTTGTGGCTTTATAACAGAAGACAATGAACTGAATATTTATGTACACTGTATTTGCATATTTCTTCTTCTAAAATATTGTCATTATGTCCCCCCCTGTAAAATAAATATTTATAATATAAAAATATGTAGACATAATGTAAATGTATATTAATATATCAAAAAGTACATGTAGCAAAAGGAGGGGGTTACATGTACATGTATGTGAACATGTACGTCTACATGTACTTCAATTAGCTTAATGTACATGTGTACATGTACATTACAGAAATCTAAGTATTTAATGATTCTGGGAGTTAGTCAACACGAGGAGCTCCACGGTCAACACAAACACTGAGTCACTACTGGCAACGAACAAGTGCTGAGAACACCGATGTGCACAATATTCACTTTGGACCATAATTTGCTTTGCTGATGGCCTCTGAGCGATATCACTAAGATAATACTAGACTCTCTTAACATGTTTCAAAGTCTGCCGACAACCCAAAGGCATAGCAACTGTACCAACATGATAACGTGTGACAACACCAAGGAAAACACAGTGTTGCTGTTGACTTTATGTTTTCCTATGACAGCCCATCCATAATCTACAAAGTGCAACCTGCAACATTTTGTTCAAATGACCCCGCTTATTTAGTCTTGGCTTTCAAATTAAATTGCCGAGTACTATTTCTCCATTGATCATAATGATCCAGAGTTAAAGGGTAACAGAAATTGAAAACATTTAGTTCAAGTAAAGTATTTCAAAATAACAATAAATACATGTATGTTACCATTTCAAAAACATTGTAAATTTAATGTTTACCCCATTAATTGTGA